TTTATTATAAGTAGGGTAATTTTCTCATATTATTTATTTATTTTTTTATTGAGTATTAAATATTTTGAAAAGACGGTACATATTTTAGTGACCTTTTATATATCAACTATTAATGAAAGTTTTAAAAACACTGTCATATCGTTAGATAGTTTTTAAAAACCGAGTTTAGAGGCAATTGTCTATTAAAATTAAATTTAAAATAAATTAATATATATAAATATATTTTTTTTAAATTTTATGTATTATTTTATAATATAACAAAGTTGAATTGCTTGTTAAGTTTATTTAATCAATTGAAAGTAAATAAATATGATTCAAATTCAACACATTTTACACATAACATCAGCAAATGAGTCCTTATTACCAGATTGCTAGCATCAACTTAAAAATGTTTGGATCAAATCCTGTCAAAAACACAACGTTAAAAATTTCACCTCTTAGATTGTTTGCAGGTATTAAAAAGAATCAACTGAGTCAATAATAATTTGTTATTTCTGTATCTTTATCGAAATTATAATAAATAAACAAAAACATGATTCAACAAGAATCAACAAAACTTAAAAGATCCATAATGCAAGTCTAAACAAAAGTAAAATTTTGACCATAAACACGTGCCGCTGCTGATCCTTCTCTTTCAAAACAGAACCGACAGTACCGACCGACAGAGTTGTTGACAGATCGCGGTGACATCTCTCCTCACAGGTAAAAATTTCTAGTTTATATTTGAACTATTGAATTGTTTTACTTGACATAATAAACAAAATATTTTGGTACTCATCCTTTAAAGATATTTTTGTACGTGTTTATTCGAATGAATAAAGGATTTACTTTTAAAAGTAAATCAATTTGATTCATTTTATTTTTCCTTCTTAATTTTAGTTTAGCCTAGTTTAGGCACAGGACAAAATATTATTTTGCTCAACATAATAACTGATAAATATTTTATTATTGTCACAGGAAGTAGATATAGGAAGAACAATCGTAAATTTATCAAATTCAAGATAATATCACATAATTTTTTTTGTACAGGGTTGTCTATTTTGTGGTTGCGAAAGTGAACTTAAATAAAACACATTTTTTATTAAGACTTCAATTTAAATTTTTGTTTCATTGAATTGATTAAAGTGTCTAATCCTGTCTAAAGTGTCAAATAAAACGTATTTTATTGTGGTGAAATATTTGCGATAATTTTTGATGACTGGTCAACACATAGTGACTTTAATACGATGGTGACATGACCAAAACGATGTTGATATGACCAAAACGTGAAATAACATTTTAACTTCCGATGAAAATCTCGTTTACAAAATGATAATTCTTTATTTAATTATTGTATATTATATTCTTATACAAAAAAAAAATTAGATAGACAATGACTTTTTACTACAAATCATAAATATATTATTATTATTATTAAATAATAGGCTATGAATGCACCCTGACCTTAAAAATCTATTGTACGCTTAAAGACCCAACTAAAACAATTCTAGACTATTTACAAATCTCGTAATTGCTGTGGGCTTAATTTTACCTATTTAATTTGGAACTAAGAGCCCGCTTCTAAGGTAGTTGAATCTACGTCTTGCCGCTGCTGGGCAGTTGCATAGAATATGTTTTGATGTTTCCTTCTCCTCATGACAGAGTCGACAGGAGTCACTTTCTACCGCACCTATAATCTTCATGTAGTAATTCAGTCCACAGTGTCCTGCAAGAAGTTCAGTGTAGATTTTAATATCGTTTATGTTAAGGCCAACTTTGATGCGTTCAAGATCAATGAATCTTCTTGACTGTCGTTGGGGCTCTCCAATGTTCAAGTAGATGTTGTTTCTCCCGTTTATGTTACTTAATAAGTTATTTGTGAAGGTGTTTGTTACCACGCAGAAGCACTCTGGACCAATGAAAGGAGTACATGAACCCTTCTTTGCTAATAAATATATTGGAACACTTTATTCTTTATTTGGTGCATGAACTGGAATAGTTGGAACTTCATTAACAATTCTAATTTGGGTTGAATTGTATTAAATTGGAAAGGACCAAATTTATAATGTAATTGTTACCGCTCATGTTTTTATTATAACTTTTCTATAATTATAACAATTATAATTGGAAGATTTGGAAATTGATTGGTTCCTTTTATATTAGGTGCCGAAGATTAAGCGTTTCCACGAATGAATAATATAAGATTTTGATTACTTGTTAGATAGTTTTATTTATAATACAATCAAATTCTAAATAAAAGATTTAAAATTAAAGTCAATGTTGACATTCAGAACATGAATGTATATTTTTTTTGAATTGTCCTTTTACTTATAAAGCTTTAAGGAATTGTAGTATTTTTTAAAGAAACCGGTTCTTAAATTTTTTTATATAAACAGATCGAATTTGATCGATAAGTTTTATATTTTTCGTATTTAAACTCTTTTATTAATTATAAACTATTTTATGAATTATAAACTCCTTTATTAATTTATAAAACTAGAAGAACGAAACTTTTCCAAATTTTCATTTAAATTTGGAATCTATTAATATTACTTTACAGTTTACCTTAATTTCAGATACTTTTATCAAAAAATAAGTGTATCATATATCGACTTCTGTAATGTCTGTGGAATAAAATTGTAACTTTAGCTTATTCTTTCGTCAAATATCCTACATAAAAGCAGAAGACATGACATTCAGTTAGGAGAATATATTAAGAAGTAATAATAGAATACTGAATAATAGAAGATCAAACGACTAAATACTCCTAAACTTTATTAAATTTAATTTTATTTCATAAATTTTTTTGGAGATTTTTTGATCTACACTAGATTTGGATCTTTGATTACAATAACAAAGTAATGCAAATAATATCTTAAATTAGTTGAATTTGTTAAAGCATTGTTAACTTAGTGAAGACGTCATCGATGACCATATAAAGTATAACACTCGTCTAGAACTTTAAAAGACCGAAAAAATTAGTTTGTGCAAAGCTAAAAGTACTGTATGGAATGATTTAAATCGGTCTTACAGTTCTCATATAAAGTGCATTCATATAGTCCTATATAATCCAAAATGAAAAGTTTTAATAAAATAAATTTATGAACAAATTATAAATTCATGATTCCAACAAAAATACGTGTTTTAGAATTACTTTATACTTTTCTACAAGTTTTATATTTAAATAATTATAGTATTAAATATATAGTTGTTAGGTTATTATTTCTGTACGTCATTCATATTTATCGCATTAAAAACTCGCCTCCAAATATAAATAAATTCCTAAATTTAATTTAATCACATATGGGAGCAGTGTCGTAGCCAGGAGAGGATGAGATATTAAGAGATTGGTTCCCCTTTGACAATGTAATTTTACTTACATACATACTGTAGCCCTTCCTCCTCATGGAGCATAGGATTACACTGACAATGGCAATGTAATCTACAGTTAATCAATTGAAAAAACACTGCCACAAAAAAGAATTTCCTCGTACATGCACTCCCCTAAGTACAATTCAGGCTACGCCTGTACATATGGGTATATAGTTCCTTGAGATATATTAAGATATTTGATATATCTACTACTTAGATATATCAAACAAAATTTCTTTGTTAAAAGATTATAAAATCTAGAGTCTTAAATATTAAATATAATTTTAATGAAAAGTGACCTATAGTCGGATAAAAAATATATAAAAATATTATTATTTAAATTATAGTTTTGTGTCAATTTTGTTTCAACTAAATTTTATTTCAAAATTTATACTGTCCTAAGTTATAATTCACTTTAAAACATGATTGATTAAGCATATGGATGTAACTGAGATCTCATTATATTCCCGCTATATAATGTCAGTATCTTTTCAAATATATATAACTTTTATATTTGTATATTATTTAAAAATTCCATGATTTGATAATAATAAATAGTCGTAATAATGCAATTGCTCTTTGTACGCAGTACTCATTCCACATAATAATTCGCATTTATAAATTAATTAATATTAAATATTTCTGATCATTTTTATTAATATGGTTATGCTGTTGTATAATTATTTGCAAATGTGTGTAAGCAATCAAAGTTCACAAATGTTCAACAGTGTAAAATAAAAATATTGTTCAGAGAATAATTTTAAATATAATAGAGAAAATATTTATTACAATGTATAGATATTTTTATTAAATATTAAATTTCTATGAACAACGTTGGATCAAAAAAAAAATTATATTTGCCATTGCTTTGAAACTTTACCAAACACAAACGAAATTGTTTTCAAATCATTAAAAAAACAAAAAACAAAAAGGAAGGCGTTTCTTTTAAGATAGCGCTAGAGACTGATGTGTTAAAAAGAGATAAATATAGCTAGTAATGCACGTAGCCTGAAAGAGCAACAAGTGGCACAATGTAAAATAATTTTATGGTGAGTTTACCAAGCGTGTGAGTTGAGTTTGATAGAGAACGAAAAACAAATTCGTGTACGTGAGAGAGTGTACCGAAAGCAGAGAGTGAAGCTTAAAAGGAAAATGTATTTTAAAGTCACTGGATCAAATGGCATATAAAATATATATGAAACATAATAAATTCTTAAGCAGCCAGCATATGTGTGTTTGTATGTGAGAAGGCAATACAATTAGCGTAGCGTAGCAAAATGGAATAAGTGATGATGATGATGTTTTTGCTGTTATTTTAAATTTCAATCTTTAAATGATTATTTTTAAATGTATATATTTTTATTTTAATGTTAAAAAATTTTAGCTGAGATTTGAGTAGCAGTTTAATTAAAAAACGCGAGTGATACACACATGATTCTAACAAGTGAAGTGAGGACGGAAAGTGCGCATTGAAAAATTCTATTAAAATATTTTTAAAAATATTTAAGTGTTTAATTTTATTGAGTGTTAAATATAACTTTAGTGAATTCTTCTATACATGTATAAATAAAAAAGTAAAAAAATATATTTAAATGTGTATTTAAATAAATATTAATTATTGTTTAAAAATAAAAATACATAAAAAAATATATAACTTAAGTTTACAAAATTACTAAATAAAAATTTATAAATACATAAAACGTTAGAAACTTTGGTTTCAAATGCTACAGCAAAACAATGAAATTTCCTGCAAGAAATACAAAAACAACTACAACCAACGCAAAAGTGTCTAAAAGCAACAACAAAGACAAAGAAAAGGATAAAGTCCGCAATACCACAAACTTACTAACAAACGCGGCTAAAATGAAAATAACTAAAGCTATTGCTAATTCCAAATTAGCAACAACTTCCAACAATACAAAACCCACCAAAGGATTACAGGATTGCTTACAAGCAATGCAAAATGCTTATCCAAATGCAACCACCATAGACACAACCAATAAAATCTATAAAACAGTACAAGAGCAGTTGGAAGATGCAAGATCCAGTGAAAGAGTAGACATAACCGCAGGATCGCATTTATTACATACGTTAGCAGCTCACCCGCATCTACAACAACAAATAATAAACCATCATTCACAACAAAAGGAACTCAGAATAGGAACAGCTATAAACCAAATAGCATATGAACAACAACAAGAAGCATTACATACCCAAATAACATCCAATCCAAATACAACGATGATGTATATGAAAGAGACATCGAACACACTAAACACAATACCAACAAAAAAACAGGAACGATCGTTAACACGTACAACAACAAATAACACACCAGCACCAGCACCAGCAACAACTGCAGCGGTTTTGGAAACGCACTCACTACTGCTGAACTCAACACACTTGCCTGTCGAACACGATCAACACGATCAACACGATCAACAAAAACAACAACCACCTCAAACACAACCAACAACGACAATAGTACCACTACTAGCACAACAAGCAAAAACTTCGTCATCGACAACTTCACTGTCAGTTGTCAACGAAACGTCTACTGGAACGGCTACGACGACAACAACAAACGCGAGCATTGATTTTCGTGACGTCTCAGTTGAAAGTAAAGCAAAATATCAGCAACGAGATAAAAATTTGAAAATTATTGATAAGTGTAAAAACGGTGCGATAAGTGCAGCAACATCAACAATTGTTACAACACCACCGGCAACTACAATTTCAGTGATAAACACTCAAAATATAGTAAACAATTTAAGTGGAACTCAAAGTGAAAAACTATTAACAAATAATAGCAATAATAATCAGCAATTAAATGAGCAAGAAAGCGATAATAAAAATTTTGAACAACAGCAACAGCAACAGCAACATTTAAATAGTGAATCTGAACAAGCAAATGATTTGTTGCCAATAAATTATCGTGGTTTAAATAATTCCGTGATAATAGCAAATTATAGTAATACCCAACAGCATCCACAACAGGAGGGAACATCAACAACACCACCGGCAACAGCTGCTCCAATTTTAGTTTATCAACATACAACAGCAACGACTGCGCCCACAACTCCAACACCCAACCCAAATGAAACGCATTTTCGTTACGGGCAACAACTAACGCACGATCAATATCAAAGTGAGCAAGAGCAACAATTGTTGGCAACACAACATATACTCAACAGCAATACAGATCCGAATTTAAATTTAGCTGTTGCTGGCTTAACTACACAACAACAGCAACATTGGTATGCGCCTTATAATAGTTGTGCTTATGATTTATCCTTACATCATCAGCAACAACAATTCCAACAGCATCAACAGCATTTAAGAGAATTAACTGAAAAATCAGATTTGCTTACATTACATCAGCAACATTTGCTCCTACACACACCGCTACATTTGCAACAACAACAACAAGTTGCAGCTACAAATTCTACCGCTTTGTATCATCCAACAGTGCATCAATTTGACGACACAATGCGTAATAATTGTACATTATACTCATCCTATGGAGTCAATCCACATGATCATTTGCAACATCATCATAGCACTGCCTCAACCGCACATACGCCGAATAGCATAGATGAAGTAATATCAGATACGCTGAAGGACGAGTGCATGGATGATGTCGGTGTCAGTTACTATACCTTAACATCAGTGCCCGAGTTGCAGGCTTATCATCAGCATCAGCAACATCATTTGATGCATAGCCAACAGCTGTCACAACAAGTACAACTGCAAGCAACACATATGCAACATAATAGCCATTCTGCTGGTTCAGGTGGTGAATCCCCATCCCCCAATCATCTGACGCACGGTAATGATGTAGGCTCTCTACAAAGTTTTACACAATTAACCAATGCCACTACACAACGTGATCTCTACGGAAACTTAACACCTGAACATACACCACTCACATATTTTCCATCTCCATTAAGTCCAGTACTATCCACAAGGTAAGCTTGAAATTTAGTACAATCTATATTAAATATATATATAAAATAATATATATAAAATATATGAGTATTTATATGAGTATATATTATTATAAAATATGTATAACAAATCCAAGGCAGTGTCTGTAAATACCATGGCAATATTTATCATAATGAACTCGTATTGCTTGTCATAAATATATTGTAAAATAATTAAATTAATTCATATGTAAATCACCTAAGTAATTACTGAAATATATTTCAGTGTTTAATATTCAAATTGATATATAATGAACGTATCTGAATACTCTAAAAAAATTATATCGGCAACAAATAGATTTTCTTAATCTGTTTAGGGTATAAGCCTTCTTACTAGTCATAAATATTAAATACATATTTGATATTCATTTTAATGTTTTTTGAACAAAAGAATGAATATAAAGTATAAAAAACATATTCTTATTATTCATAATAATATAGTATATAAATTATCACATAACTGAACTTCCATCTATTATAAAAAGCACCGTATAAATTGATTTTACAAGTAAGTTGATTTTGATAGTAAAAAGAAATTATTAGTCTGTTTTAGGAAATATTGATATTTGTTGGCAATAAATTTAGTATTTATTTCTAAATCTATATATTTACATTAGATATATCTAAATTTGTTATTAAATTTTGTAACAAATTTATGTTTTCCTTTATACATTGAAGAACATTTACCTGGTACTTTCGGATATTTAATTTTATTAAGTGAGTTTAAATTCTTTCCTTCCAAAAGACTACGATTTATCTTAGAAATTATAGAAAATATTTCAAAAGGCAAATAAAAGTAAATATGTTGTTAGAGTGTAAGTATCTGCGTTGTTCACAGATATCTATATTTTTCTAGATTTTTATTTTTAATTTTATTTTATTTTAAAAAATTTTTCACTTATAAGCTTTTTCGATTTATGATTAATATATATTGATAAGAATATATTGATACCTTGTGGAAAACTAAATCTTTTATAAAAAATATCGTTATATGGTATTTACCATATAATAAGATTTAGTATTCTCTTTAAAAATTTATAGAATATTAAATATTGAATTGATTTATCGACCTGTTATTTTAATATTGGTTTTTATATATATTTTATTCGGCTGTAGGTCACTTTCAGTTAAAATTAAAATTCGACGTTTGTTTAATATTTCTTAATATCTGCAATATAGGCAATAGAGTGAAGAGGATATCACTTAGATATAGATTTCATTAATATTAATTTATGTCAGATCCTTATCCTGATAATGACCGTCAAAGAGAGTCGAAATATAGAATATATTAAAAAATATTAAACAAACGTTGAATTTTAGTTTTAACAAAAAGTGATCTACAGCCGAATAAAATATATATAAAAATTTCTTATAATGAAGTATATTTCGTATATGTTTACAAAATTAACTTTAAATAATACAATTAACTAATATAATTTTAACAAAGAAGAAGAAGAAAGTAAAAATATACCTATATATAATGTCTCTATAAAAGGAATAGTATAAAATCTGACAACAAAATCTACAATAATTTTGCTCAGTTGTCGTAGAGTTGATTTAAGCTTTCGTTATAATATCACACATTAATAAATTTTAAAGCTTAATTAAATTAAAGTTTAAAGAATACAAGTTAAGTACGGCTTCGGGATATTTTATCAAATTTGACAGGTTACTCGTATAAGTCGAACCATTAGTCAGCAAAATATTCAATTAATTTAGCAAATAAAATTTTGTTTTTCTTTCGTTATATCAAATTAGGTTCTAAAAAATATTTTTATGTGTTTATAACAATAAATTAATTATAAATTTTCATTTTAAATAAACTTTAAAAAGTGTATTGTTTATATACTAAATGAAATTTTATTATAGCACATTTAATCAATAATATTTTTGATTCAGAAACATATTCTTTGTCTTCTATGTAGAGCTGTTACTATAGTTTTTAATCGGATTGTTGGATTGGCTCTAACTCTCTCCTTAAACGACGATGTAATATGAGATATTAGAAAATAATAAATTCAAAATAGAATTTGTATTCTATAGAAAAACATATTTTTTTGCCTTATATATATATCTATATTATATATATAAGTATTAATAGGTATTAATAGTGTTGCAAACCTCAACTCTTACCTCTTAGCTGTAGGCTTTTATGATCAATTAATTACTCATGAATTAAACCTTCAGCTTAACATTTTATGTAGTGAATCAATTCTTGTTGAGACCTATTATAAAGGGAACAGTTGACATCTTTTTGTGTTATGGACACTATATTACAATACTATAGTATACTGTACTATATATAATTTATACTGTTTATTTTTTATGATCGAACAATTTTATAGTGTATCTTATTAGTACGATTTAATTGCTTAAATAAAACGCAATTGTTTATATTATAGATTTATTTATTTTTCCAATACTTTAAATATTGGCTATAGTCATCTTTAAAAATTCCCTGAAAACGCCAGCTAAAATATTGAAACAAAAATAGAAAACTTTTTATATAAGCAAATTTGTTTCATTTGCCTAATTTTATATATAATTATAATTTATAATTTTATATAGTTAATTAAATATAAATAAGATGATTTGATTTATTTTCTAAACGAAATTCACAAAATAGTTAACAATACTATGAGTTGTGAGCACTAAAGTTTTCACATCATATTTTTGTAAGTTTTGTTATTAGAAAGGTTCGAGTTATATGGGTGGAGCTGTGAAGAAATATTACAATAGAAAAATCAAATTTAAAAACAAAATTTTCACATATGTATATTGTTTTAATTTGAAAAATTAAAAATTTAATAAACATGAATTTATGACGCATTGGACTGCACCTAAAAATGACTAATTTTTTTGTTTTACAAGTGATCCTTCCAATATCTAGTAAATTGATATGAATTGGCCACTAAGATTATGTGAATTGACTTTCAACATTTCTTTTTTGGGTTATGTAAACGAGATCCTGTTTATGTGGACAATCTTCAAATTCAAATTTTTGAAAACGTTCATTCATAAACGATTCTGTTGTTGTGAACAATCTTAAAATTCAAATACTCTGTTAAGTTTTGATAGAGCTTTTGCCAGTTATGTGTCAACAAGTTTTCGAAAATTACTTCAAATGGATTTTCCAGTACAGTAAGATGTCCTATAGAGTACATTTAAATTATGTATATTTGTTTTCCAAAGGCCAGAACCAAATAATATATTGAAATTAAAATTTGATCAAGATCTCAATTAAATCGTTAATTTTTGGAGCTAAAAACTGTGTAACCATGGATCATAATCTAAATTATCTATCTATCTATCTATCTATCTATCTATCTATCTATCTATCTATCTATCTATCTATCTATCTATAATTATATAATTTATTACATAATTTTTGTAATGTATCAATAATTATTATTATATACCAATGAAATATATATAGAAAATCAATAGAGTTCATTTCCTATTATGTCTGTGACAACCTTACTAACTAAGCTATATGCGTACCTTGACCTTCTACATAGTAGTAGCTTTCGAAGTAACTAATTGTGTCAATACATTAATTTTTATTTCTTGGAAATGCTCATTACAAATCTCAAATCATGAATATTTTTTGCGGGCCTTAAAACACATTTGTGTGCATTACGGATACAATAAAATATTAATAATAAAAAAGATTGAATAAGTTTGACTCGAAAGTCGAGAATTTGAAATGAAAATCAGCAAAAGGCACGTGCTCTAAATGCACTTTAGCGTAATTTGACTTTGGTGAGCTTCTCCGCTGGGCTCCGAAGGCGGACTCACAGACCGACTGAACTGAGCTAGCTAAAGTCATATACAGTTTTTGCATTATTTGGTGACTAATTGTATCGATTCATTGGGAGTTTTTTTTTTCTTGACAAAAATCAATTATTTTCTTATATTTTATTATATTATTTTAAATGTTTTTTTTATTAATTACGTGCTACATTACATAGGTGATTCGTTGACTTTGTACGGTAGCTTGAAAACCTGCTGTGTACTCTTCTGCTATAAGATCTAACGAACAACATATTTATAATATATGTACTATATCAAATGACTACAAATAAAAGTAAGAAGCAAAAAATTCTGCTTTAGTGTATAAAAACAATTTTGTTAAAGTGTAAAACATATATTATTTTTTCTTATATAAATGCAAACTCAGGTGTTTTCTTCGAAGTGCCGTCTGGCGAGTTGCTACACCGGCAAAAGAATTCAAAGTTTTTGTTTAACAAAACTGTTGCTTGAACTATGTTAAATGCGTGCCAGTACATTTTTGAAGTTGGTTCTATTGAGGACCAGCTTTCTGAACAGCTTTTATAAGTTTTCAGATGAACACATTTCGCAAAGAATTGCAATTAATGTATAATATTAATAATTTTTAGAATCAAAAGTTAATTCACAGACTATGAAAAATACCATAGATGACTGAATAGAGTATATTTTAGAGCAAAAGTAGAATTACTCTGTTAGTAATACAGTTTGCATTCTTTAAGACAGTTTCTGCTACATTTGTCAAGAGATGTTTAAGAACATATTTGTGGATTTTATGCAAATACCATATTATTATATTTATGTGATTTAGTTTACATATAGATTGGTGTTTCTTAACTATTTCTGTGGTATACCCCAATTAAAACATCCCAATTAAAAAATTTGCAAGACTCTAAACATCCCAATTAAAAAATTTGCTCCATATACTAGGAGCGGCAATTTTGAGTAAATATTTAAAATTACAATAAGGTTTTTTTTTTACTCTGCGGGACTGTTTGAATAACGTTACAGCAAACATTAACCAAACAATATACCCACCTTTAAGCACCCGTCAACAATGTCAAATTTTTATATGTATTGTGTATGGGACGTTCAAAGCTTTTTCATAAAAATCTTTTGAGTAGCGATCACCCATATAATGTGGATTATTCGTTTTGAAATAGTTCTCTGTCTATAGATCATATACTTAACGA